AAGAACTTCAAGAAGAAGATGTACACCAGCAAGACCAATGACAAATCCCCCTTCTCTCCCCACCTTCCTCCTCCTCCTTGTCTTTGCCAATCTTATTCTTTTCCCAAATAATAATAATAACAATGAGTGGTTGAACCAGAATCAATATCCAAAGTTCCCTCTTATTGCCAACACAACAATAGATCCACCTTAGCCATGGCTTCCCTCTTCACCTTCCTGTCACATGCCAAGGCTATGGAGGACTACTAAGGGCTCTGCCCTCCCGTGCAAAAGACAACTCAAAGCAGCTATGGTAGCTGCTCTTCAGGCCGCGATGCCTGACTCTGCCTTAAAGCTTCCTTGATGCAGCACTACCCCAACTGGGGCCTTCCAGATGCAGCGCCTAGCAAGGTGTTGAAGATGGTATCCACCATAGCCGGGTAGGTACCTCGCCATTCTCCTCCTTTGCCCCCTTCTTCCTCCTCCCCAAGCTGGGCTGCTCGCCATAGCCAGGCTGAGCGCCCAGCACTCCTTCCACCTTCTGGGCAGCGCTCTGAGTCACAGCGCTCGCTCCAGGCTGTGGCGGACTACTAAGGGCTCTGCCCTCCTGTGCAAAAGACAACTCAAGCAGCTGTGGTCGTTTCTCTTTAGGCCGCCATGCCTGACTCTGCCTTGAAGCTTCCTTGGCGTGGCACTACCCCAATTGGGGCCTTCCAGATGCAGTTCCTAAGAAGGTGATGAAGATGGTGTCCACCATAGCGAGGTAGGTACCTCACAACTCTCCTCCTTCGCGCCCTTCTTCCACCTCCTCATGCTGGGCTGCTCGCCATAGCCAGGCTGAGCGCCCAGCACTCCTTCGACCTTCCGGGCAGTGCTCTGAGTCACAGCCCTCGCTCAAGCAGTATGTCGCCCAACCTTGCAGTGCTTGCACACCGCAAATGAGGAGCTACTCGCTCCTCCAGAAGATATAGCGGCCTACTTGCCTCTTGGGCGGTGACTTCCAGGTTCCAAGGCCTTCAAGCAACCAGGACCTCCTCCCTTTCAGATGGAAACATCATTGCAGGCACGGATATCCTCCGTACAGGCCCTAGACTGTACATGGACTGGTGCCGGCCTACCTCTAGCCTACCGCTACTGGGCCTTTAAAAATGGGAACTTTTTGTCTTCTCCTGCTCAGCCTCGAGTACGCGACATATCTACCACTACTTGAGTGGTACTGGCCTACCTGCTGCTTGAGGCCTGCCCTGCTCACCATAGCCAGGCTGAGCGCCCAGCACTCCTTTGACCTTCCAGGCAGCGCTCGCTCAAGCAATATGTTGCCCAACCTTGCACACCGCAAATGAGGAGGAGCTACTCGCTCCTCCAGAAGATATAGCGGACTACTTGCCTGTTGGGCGGTAACTTCCAGGCCGCAAGGCCTCCAAGCAACCGGTACCTCCTCCTTTTCAGAGGGAAACATCATTGCAGGCTCTGATATCGTCCATACAGGCCCTCAGGCTACATGAACTGGTGCCGGCCTACCTCTAGCCTACCACTACTGGGCCTCTAAAAATGCCAACTTTTTGTCTTCTCCTGCATGGCCTCGAGTACCCAACATATCTACCACTACTTGAGCGGTACCGGCCGACCTGCTACTTGTGTTTTTCCCGCTGCTCCATGTGTCGCGGGCCTAACCCCGCTACTTGAGTGTTTTCCCACTGCAACCCTCAAAGTCACGGCCACAGGTAAGTGCCGGCCCTGCGGGGCCTCCAAACGAACGAGTGCCCTTGGGGGTCACACACACACTCAGGCCGCCAAGCACTCAGACAGGCACGCACACACACAGACTTAGAAAACTTAGCAGAATGCGGGAATCTCAGCAAGGCATACATTCCAGCGGCAAAACTCAGAAATCAGCTGTGTTCTCAGTCTGTGTGTTGGCGGTTCATTACAAAAGGAAAAAAACAGAGAACTCCCGGCTTACGCTTTAGTGAGAGTATAGATATAGGTAATAAAGATGTTGGGGGAGTTCTTGGAGGAGAGAGATGGTGGCGAGATGAGGGATGAGTGAGATCGGTTCCAGCTTGTGTCCATCTTCTTCTTCTTCTTGCTCCTCTGTCTGTTTCTCTCTCCAATCTCTTTTATTTCACTAGCAATTGAACGGAATTCTCTTTTTCAGTTGTACACTGTGAGATTACCAGGGTCATAAGTTTCATAACCAGTGTAGGAAGACATAAACCTACCCTCTTCTAGATGTGTGTAGGATGCTCTGCCGTCACCAATATCGAGCACATATCCTGTGTGGTGTTCGCTGTAACCGGGGGGAGCTGAGACCTGAAGGCAAACCATGAAACAAAAAACAGAAAAGGAAAAAGAGTTGAGAAAAGTTCAACAAGCATGGAATCACCTAGGATGGCAACCTTTTACTCCCATGCCAAGGCAGTAATACCCAAATTTGATGTATAGATATTGAAGAACCAGTACCTTTCCCATCTATTTTGCCGAGATGAGCCGGGTCACAGGAGGCCGGCGGGGTTGGTGCTACCAGACGAAATGGCTGGCGGCACCAGCCAAAATGAGTCCCACACCGGTTCGGTTTTTTTCGGTGCGCAGGGCGATTTTAGGCTCGGCATCTATAGCTGAGAAAGATACTGGTGGTTTAATATCCTTGCAAGGAATATGAGTGTGAACGATATACAGAAAACCAAGTTGCGAAATAACACAGATGTCCAGGTAGTCGTATCCAAGCAGAGAGTACAAAATGCACCGAGAAACCATCCATATAGAGCAATACAATGAAGTAATGAGCCAATGTTCAAGCCCCTAGTGTGAGGATTGAGCCCTCAAGAAGGGGCCTTGCCATGATGTACATGTTCTGAGCTAAGGCCCCAGCAAGCCTAGTGCCCGCCCTAAGTGAAGGCGGGCCAGCAAATCAACAAGAGCCCTCTATGCCAACATTTCACGAAGTGGGGTCTATACAGTTGCAGCACGCCAGTTGGTTGGAGTGCACCGAGTCTCGGATTTCAGCAAATGCTGAAATGCCCAGGGCCTCTGAGTTAGTTAGGCCCTGGGCACTTCAATGTGAGGCCGACAATGCACGCTGGGTAGAGAGGCCGGAAATGCCAAAGGGGAATCGGCCCACTGTCTGAATCTGGCCGCAGGCCTTGATGAAGGAGGCGCAACTGCATTGCCCCGGGGCCCAACTGTATCGGGTTGGCTTCAGCCTCTGGGCCCYGGTCACAGGCTGAAGGRAGGCCGCCCACACGCTGCACTGGCATATAGGCAAGCAGGKCGAGGCAGCAAGGATCTTGGCCAATACTGGCATATGCGGGCACGCTGCGCRGATGCATGTGTGCTGCGCTGTGCAAGGCAGTGCTGCGCTAAGAGCAAGCAGGCCAGCGCTAGGCGGTAGGGYGCTGCCTRCACTGAKGGCACTGGCGGCCATAGCCTGGGCCGCAAGMGGGTGCARGGGAGGTGAGGGCGAAGGTGGTACTTCGGAGGTGAAGGGCGCTGTGTGGGTAACAAGGGAGAGTGTGGAGAAGATGACACGTACCTGGTGATGATGAAGAACGGCATTGGTGTTGACATCATCAAT